TCCTCTAAAATGTATTCATGATTGATTCGCAAATTCTCTTTAATTGATTTAATGATTTGATGGCTTGAGCTCAGATGCGTTTTACACAGGCTGATGCAAACACAGCTATTGACCAATCAGCGCATGCGTTTTATTTTGTTTATTTTATACATGTTGTTTAATTTTCATTTAGGATTATAACATTTAAATGCGGGAGCGGGAACAGGGTAGGTAAAATATCTTGGTGTACAAGCTACGTCATAGCCGCCATGTTGGATGATTTTAACGAAGGATTTTCCTTAATTACAATGCAATGTCATCCATCATGGCGAACATTCTATTTGTCTCTCACTTGCAGTGGAATGGTTGCACACCACTTATACATATAATAAAAATATATTTTCATTTTAAAATCTTTAGACCTAATCTTATCGGGGGTATTTTTACCTTGAAAGTTAAAAAAATAACCAACAAATATCCTCAAAAATTAGTTTGGATTTAAAATGAGCCTCTATAATTTATCTTTATACTTACCCTAGATCGCCACGGTATAAATATATAAATATACAGCTACTCAATTTTCAATTTCCCTCCTTTCCTGAAAGCACTGCTCATTCCATTACGTAGTAATAACCACTTCCATTAAGAATAGCTCAACTGAAAGAAAATTTCTTGTCCTAATTACGCGCAAACGCAAAGTTCTAAAGTGTCAAACCGTTTACACAACGTAGGAATGATGGCGACAACAAATTGCAAATGACGAGCATTAAACTCCTTTAATTTGGGTAGGAATCGAATATTGCTGAATAATGCACATCTACAAATCTTGGGTAATTTCAAACTAATGAGGCTTTTTCTTACACCCGACATAGTTAAAGGTTTCGACTCGTAGATTGCCTGACGACAATCGAAATGCCAAATATGGTTATAAAAAATCAATTTCTTTGTTCTTTGCTGTATTGATAAACATGAAATAAGCTATTGCCGCATTCAGCGGCTAGAAGAAGATCACGTATTTTGAAGAAAAAAAGAGTTCCTTTATTTCTTTGCATTATCTTCCAATCTTCGTCGGAATTTTGCTTATTATAATACCTGAAGTATTAAGGCTCTTTGTATTATGCATTATTGCTATTTCAAAAGAAGACCATTTAAATGCATTATATAGCTAGCATACGGAAATATTTTTAATTTTCATCACATACACGCACAATTTTTCGTTAAGAAATTATGAATTGCTGTCTAAAAAGTTGTGAGAAATTGTTATTCTTTTTTGTGAAGAATTTTTTTAGGTAAGTCGCTAAAGTTTCGAAAATAAATGAATTGTGTTGTGAAAAACAGCCAAGCTATATATATAAACTTATACATACTATATATAAGGTCAGCAGAACAATTAATTGATTAAAATGAGACGTTAGTAGCTACAAACTTGCCAATCGTGGCCTCCACAAGAAGTGGATCGACGTAGTTATGGAAGTGGAGGCAAATCATGAGCAATCTGTGATTAAATCAATATAGCGAAACTCTAAGTCTAACGTTCTCTTTTTCCCGAAGATTTCTGCAAAATGGACGGTATCTAGCTGGTCCAATTACTGATTTTAAAAAGTATAAACGCTTGTAAAGTCGATGTTAGAAGAATTCATTATTAATCTTATCTGATGAGTAACAATCGTATATAACAATCAAGCTTTACATTTTTTAAGTCAGCTTTCCGATTTCCTTCGTGTAAGAAATGTTTGCGTTCCTGCATCATTATTTTCAAAAGATCAATAAATAAAAGTCTTTGTTTTCTTCAAAATACTTGATCTATTTTGAACGCTACAGCGCTAGTAAAAATGTAATTTGGCTTATCTCTATTTGATCAACACAGCATTTAGCCTATCTTGACGAAAGCAGGAACTTACCGGACAAAGAATTTATTTTTATAAACATATTTGACATTTTAAGGTGCAATTGCGAAAAATCATGAAGTGTCAGGACCTTTTTAGTTGTTTTACTTTGAAGTGTGATTTACTTTGAAGTCATTTTTGAAACAATTTACAGAATTGTTAAAACTTTATCTAAAATACAAGCATTTTTCAAGAAAAAAACCATGACATTTTAGGATGACATTAATAATGGCTTTTGTCTACAATTCCATATTTAGAAAAGGAAACGTTTTTGACCATTGGTTTATAAAGCAAAACGAGGCATATTTATCGCAAAATTGTTGTTTAATGCTGTTAAGATAGACGATTAGCACAAGAGCTTTTTATAACTATTTACTCCTTAAATATTTTTATCGTATTTACTTAAAGATAATTTTGTAATTTAGTAATTTATTTGCGCCCCCACATTAGCATGGACTTTTCAAGCTGGAGGGTATTTTCCAACACGTTCTTCGTATATAATTAATATTCACAGTAAATGAAATGCATTGAATGCACTCTAATGCTGTTGTATGTATGACAGAAAGATTTAAGCTTAGGTTTCATTTGTCGCAATTCACATTTTTTCAACATCTGTTGTCTTTCGATAAGCAATTTGTTTTGTGAATTAATATTCTGAATTCCCAAGCAACTTACTGACAATAACTTCGGTGAGGGTCGGCAACATACGTTAGCCACACCTTATTAATTAATTATAAAAACGACATTCGGCTGATTTGAGAACAGAAACCTTTGTGTGCGCGTAGAAAGCAGAGTTGTGATACATCATTCTCACTTGCAGTGGAATGGTTGCACACCACTTATACATATAATAAAAATATATTTTCATTTTAAAATCTTTAGACCTAATCTTATCGGGGGTATTTTTACCTTGAAAGTTACAAAATTATCCAGCCAAGAATATCCTCAAAAATTAGTTTGGATTTAAAATGAGCCTCTATAATTTATCTTTATACTTACCCTAGATCGCCACGGTATAAATATATAAATATAAAGCTACTCAATTTTCAATTTCCCGCCTTTCCTGGAAGCAGTGCTCATTCCATTACGTAGTAATAACCACTTCCATTAAGAATAGCTCAACTGAAAGAAAATTTCTTGTGCTAATTACGCGCAAACGCAAAGTTCTAAAGAAGTGCCAAACCGTTTACACAACGTACGAATGATGGCGACAACAAATTGCAAATGACGAGCATGAAAATCCTTTAATTTGTGTGGGAATCGAATATTGCTGAATAATGCACATCTATAAATCTTGGTAATTTCAAACTAATGGGGCTTTTTTTACACCCGACATAGTTAAAATCTTCGACTTGTAGATTGCCTGAAGACAATCGAGATGCCAAATATGGTTATAAAAAATCAATTTCTTTGTTCTTTGCTGTATTGATAAACATGAAATAAGCTATTGCCGCATTCAGCGGCTAGAAGTACATCATGTATTTTGAAAAAAAAGAGATCCTTTATTTCTCTGCATTGTTTTCCAATCTTCGTCGGAATTTTGCTTATCATTATAATACTTGAAGTATTAAGGCTCTTTGTATTATGCATTATTGCTATTTCAAAAGAAGACCATTTAAATGCATTATATAGCTAGCATACGGAAATATTTTTAATTTTCATCACATACACGCACAATTTTTCGTTAAGAAATTGTGAATTGCCGTCTAAAAAGTTGTGAGAAATTGTTATTCTTTTTTGTAAAGAATTTTTTTAGGTAAGTCGCTAAAGTTTTGAAAATAAATGAATTGTGTTGTGAAAAACAGCCAAACTATATATACGACTGATATTAAGGTCAGCAGAACAATTAATTGATTAAAATGAGGCGCTAGTAGCTACAAACTGGCCAATCGTAGCCTCCACAAGATATAAGTGGATTGACGTAAATATGGGGAGGGGGGGAGGAGCAAATCATGAGCAATCTGTGATTAAAGAAATATAACGAAACTCTAAGTTTGAGGTTCTCTTTTTCCCGAAGATTTCTGCAAAATGGACGGTATCTAGCTGGTCCAATTACTGCTTTTAAAAAGTATAAACGCTTGTAAAGTTGATGTTAGAAAATTTCATTATTAACCTTATCTGATTAGTAGCAATCGTATATAACAAGCAAGCTTTACATTTTTTAAGTCAGCTTTCCGGTTTCCTTCTTGTAAGAAACGTTTGCGTTCCTGCACCATTATTTTCAAAAGATCAATAAATAAAAGGTCTTTGTTTTCTTCAAAATACTTGATCTATTTTGAACACTACAGCGCTAGTGAAAATGTAATTTGGCTTATCTCTATTTGATCAACACAGCATTTAGCCTATCTTGACGAAAGTAGGAACTTGCCCGACAAAGAATTTATTTTAATAACCATATATGACATTTTTAGGTGCAATTGCGAAAAATCATTAAGTGTCAGGACCTTTTTAGTTGTTTCACTTTGAAGTGTGATTTACTTTGAAGTCATTTTTGAAACAATTTACAGAATTGTTAAAACTTTATCTAAAATACAAGCATTTTTCAAGAAAAAACCATGACATTTTAGGATGACATTAATAACTGCTTTTGTCTACAATTCCATATTCAGCAAAGGAAAAGTTTTTGACCATTGGTTTATAAATCAAAACGAGGCATATTTATCGCAAAATTGTTGTTTAATGCTGTTAAGATAGACGATTGGCACAAGAGCTTTTTATAACTATTTACTCCTTAAATATTTTTATCGTATTTACTTAAAGATAATTTTGTAATTTAGTAATTTATTTGCGCCCCCACATTAGCATGGACTTTTCAAGCTGGAGGGTATTTTTGCAACACGTTCTTATTTAATTAATATTCATAGTAAATGAAATGCATTGAATGCACTCTAATGCTGTTGTATGTATGACAGAAATATTTAAGCTTAGGTCTCATTTGTCGCAATTCACATTTTTTCAACATCTGTTGTCTTTCGATAAGCAATTTGTTTTGTGAATTAATATTCTGAATTCCTAAGCAATTTACTGACAATAACTTCGGTGAGGGTCGGCAACATACGTTAGCCACACCTTGTTCATTAATTATAAAAACGACATTCGGCTGATTTGAGAGCAGAAACCTTTGTGTGCGCGAAGAAAGCAGAGTAGTGATACATCATGAAGTTGTGTATTTTTACATTGGTTGGTCTTCTATTGTGTTGGAGCAGTGCTGATGTGTACCTTCACAATCCTAGGGGTTCAAATAACCGCCTAAATGAAGCAAGTACCGCGCGAGCGAGTGCTAACAGAATGTTTGACTCTCAGGTGAAATATATTTTCTCCCATAGAGAAAAGTAATATTCTCTAAATATTAAATGTTTTGTTTGAGACCAGGCTCATAAAATGTATTGGCTACAATGTGAGAGAGGAAATGATTTTTGCTCTGATTTTTTAATATATGTCTAAAAATTAGCTTATGACTCAAAGTGATTGGTTTTTTAGCGTTTAATGGCAAATATTTTTTTGCATCAAAAGAAACACTAACTTACTTAACTAATTAGATAAAAACTTGAATCAGTTAGTTAAGTCTGTCCAAAGGGAAGGTCCAAGAAACATCAACCCTTGAAGGTTCACGGAAATTCTACATTCCGTTTTCTCTGTTTCACTTCATAGAGAAATGCTTCAGTTTTTTAGCAAAAAAAGTGAAGACAACATAGCTATACATCGCAATATATATAAGTAAAGTTAGCATTTACCATCAAATATATAAATGTTATTTCTTCAGAACAACAACAATGGGGGATACAACGTCGGTGATAAAGATCAAGCATCGAACTCCGAAAACGATCAGTTTAATATGGTAATTTATTCTGTGATATGCGTTCAATATTTTATGTTCTAATCTTCCAAAATGATGAAAGCCATTGCCATTGCCAGTAGCAGAACATGGGATCCAGTGTTCGTCAAAATAAATGATAGATGCTTGATGTCAAATTCACAAAATAACTTTAGAACAAATATATTGGTCATGAATCTCTAAAGAATAGAATGTACCAATCCAATGCCTCTAAGGTATTTGGAAATGAAAAATAAGCTGTAGTAGCTAATTTATTTGACGTACCCTACGTAGATTCGCCACTGGCTATAGCCGAGAATTGCGGCAAAGAATTCCCACAGTTGGCAGCCTTAAAAAGATTCTTTGCTGTGAATCACAATAAAAATATTTACGATTGTTAATAAGCTATGAAACCAAATCACAACATGCGCGCTTGCGACATTGAAGTAGAATTTGCATAACCAAGAAACATGTTAAAAGGATATGAATTTTTTTTTTCGATCCAGCACTATTTTCAAAGTAGTGAATCCCATAAAAGTTCGTCGCCTGGTCTTGATGGCAAATCACTTCTCACAATTGAATGGACCAATCAACATGGCTGTGGTGACAGAGATTTGAACTGCAACATCGTTCTTCAATACAAATGTCAAGATGATTTCGCACACAGAACACTAAATTATGATTCTCTGAGAAATGGTACAATAATACAACTTAAATATTAAAACCAATAAATGAAATAGCACATCGACTCGAAGTAGGTTTGTGTGTTTAGCCGATTGAATAGTGACCTACCACGATCTAAAACTGTTTCAAGCAAAAATAGAGATTATAATCTGCGGATTTAAAATCAAAAAAATATTGCTAGGTATTTATAAATTTACAGAACAGTCTATCCCACCTAACCCTAATCATAAGCCTAATAATTAAACTATTTTTGGTTTGTTGTGGGAACAGTGGCATAGCCAATGGGCAAGATTGGTCATATAAAACAAATTCCGAAGAAGCAAGACATCTTGAGATTGCAAAATATGAATCAAAACAACACGAGAAGTAAACTGTAAATTTTCGACTTTATTTCAAAGTCATCCTCATTCTGTCTAAAGTCGAAAATTTACAGTTTACTTCTCGTCTTGTTTTGATTCATATTTTGCAATCTCAAGATCTCTTGCTTCTTCAAGATTAGTCATGTTATGTAAATTTAAGATAATTAGTATTGTTGCCATTTTTCTTGCAGTGGGGGAACACCAAATAATTATAAATCACGATCAAACTTGTATGATGTTTATGCCACTGTTTGGGGATAATGTTATCTAATTTTGGCTTCTGTGACTGTGAGATGGGTACTGCGTACAATTTTTTGTTAAGACTTTGCATCCTTTTATTTTGTTTAGCACTGTTGAAAGTCCCTTTGGCAATTCGCTCTTTGTTTTCAATAAAATTTTGGATGCTATTGCGTTCTATGTTTCCTCACACTTAAATAATGATCAATTATTTTATTTTAGGGGGCACAACAAGTACTTCTCTCTACCACCAACAACAACATACCTCTCGATCATCTAAGAATTATAGAAAGCGATATGATTCACAGACTACCTATGGTCTCCACGAACCTTGGGAATGGTACGATAAATGCAGGAAAAGATATCGAAATAAAGGTATTAAAGGTTGTAGATCGTATGAGCAAAATTTGTATATGCATGAATAGTGTATCAGTTTTAAAAACGACCATTGAAATCGAACAACGCAAATAGACTTCGCGATATGTAAGCTGAGCGTCCGAGTAGACATTGACCAAATTAACAATTATTGATATGCTTGAATGGCATACTTTATCATATTTTTAACTATGTGCGTTATTTGTGGCAATTCAAGGTAACAAAGTCCTCACATTAAAAATAACTAATGTAGTGTTTAAATAAATAGTTAATAAAAAATTACTGTCAGAAGAACCATTGAACGTCCGACTACCATGCAGTGAAGTATTTGATATGTAAATATTTCTGTGTTTACTGAATTCGATAGATTCCTAAAGAAACAAATAATGGTGTAATTCAACTACTTCTAGTAAAGGTTTTTGCAAACCTTCTCCGCATATCAACTTTCACAAACTTTTTCATACAACCTTACAAATGTATAAAATTGCAATTAAATGAGCAGATAATTTCAAAAAATACAACTTTTTGACGATTTTTGAGCATTTTTATTGCACACACTGAACTCCTGCTACATTTTGAAAAACTATGTTTGACAGGTCTGTTCACAGCTGATCAACATCTCAATGGTGATCAAAGCATCTACACCCGTCAAAATCCAAACGGCAATCGTCATGGTTACGAATGTCCCGAAGAACGTGATTATTACCCATATTGGCATCCTACAGACTGGATTGATATTGCTGTTCTTGCCCATAATCAATCAATGTGTGAATATTATCGAAATGAGAGCTTCAACGTTAAAGAAAAAGGTTTGTTTATTTATAAGGCTCAGTTCTTTCATCCTCTTTTCTTATTTATTATTGCACCTTTTGTTGTTCTCTACTCCCCTCCGCCTTAGTCGCTTCTTTTCGCACCTGTCGTGGCTACACACCAAAGATTACAACATTACTACCTATATTTGTCACCTTTTTTAAATCATGAATTAAAAATAAAATTTCAGTTATTCACTGAGCATAGAGTTTATTAAATAGTGGTATGACTTTTCATCTTGCTCGATATCCCGACTGAAAGCCATTCTGTTCACTCCTGAATGATACGCTTGTTGTATACTTGTAATACTCAAAACTGGTGATACATTTATAATATGTTTGCACGTCATCCTCTCGATATTTTGACGGTATAACATAATCAGGATTACTGTGATTTATTCTTCTCTCATACATTCATTTATATTGTCTTCAACAGGAGAATGTCTTCAGTACTACAATACAATTTCTGACGGCTTTCGCCACGATTCCATGTATAACAATAAACTTGACTGTGAAAATAATCATGGTTTTTGGGTTCCATTCATCAACTACCTTGAAGAAAGGAAAGACCTTGACAGAAAAACAGATTGTTTGGCGGCAAGCACAAATGATGTACGTCTTATCTGGGCCATTCCCTATCGTTCTGAAGATATTGATGACTTGAGAATGAGCGGACACAGCATTGAATCTTTAAGACGGTGTTTGGTGGCTTTAGATCCTCCAGAATGTTATAAAGCTCCTTACACGAGAAGTAATCATTTGGGAAATGCGCATAATGTTGTTCCTCTCAACTACACTTGGGTTCTTCCATATTTTCCTTCGCGTCGTGCTCAGAGATGTGTTTTTAGGATAAGGTAAATTTATGTTTGCCTAATGGTCCGTTCACACGATCCGATTTGTCAATCCCATTGTTTCGGCTCTGACATTTCATTGCTTGTTCAGACTGTCCGATAATATGTTGATGTTGATGTTTTTTTAGATATTTCTTTTCGTATTATCTAGTACATTTATCGATATGTTATGTATATATTTTTGTTCTTGTTTCCAATTTTTTCTTGCGCCGAATCAACTTTGGGAAGTATTGAGAGTGCGAAGTCTGGGGCTAGTCGGCTTCCTTTAATCTTGTCTGGTAGAATATAGCAATTTCTATTTCCATCCAACTTTTTAGACGGACGGATCTGACAGTCGTAGGCTCGCTTGATATGTGTTCATACGACCCGTTTTTTAGGATATCATAAAATCAGATCCGACAAATCGGATCGTGTTTACGAGCCTCAATTTTTCATTGAAATATCTTCTGACCATTAAATTCCATAACATTTTACTACTAGGTATAACATTTCCACCGGTGATTATCCTCCATTCAACACTTTCAGTGACCAAAACCATGCCCAGTAAGTATCGCAGCTATCTTATTTTTGCAATTCATTTTACACTCAACAATTAAAATAAGAAAATATACTTGTTTTACTGAATGTAACAATTTCCACATTAAGGAATGAAGGTGTGTACTCTCCTGTGCAAAACAATCCAACGGTTCACATTGGCCAAACACAATTACCATTGCGACTTGCAATTAACACGGCTCAATTTGGACGCACTTTTCAAGACCGATCCCATTTATTCAAACTCATGCCAAGACTTAAGGGCATTACAAATAATGACGTCATTTATAATCTGAACGTCCGTGGTAAACGTGGTAATATAGTTCAAGTCTATCCAGCTGTGGAGTATGACTTCATTCCCAAACGACTTAAAATCACAAACACTAGTCTCGTTCACATCCAGTGGACAGGTAAAGTAATCAATCGTTCAAACTACTACAATTTATCCTTTTTATCTTTGACCAGTTATTTTAGATCAAAATATCTGCCTTTGCCGGTTAGTTGTATATAAATGCTTTGTAAATCTTTGAGGAAATTTCGAATTTTCAACCCTATTTGTGTATATGGGGGAATTTAAAATTATTTACACGCTAATTGAAAATGCTCATTGATTTCTACAGGAAAACTTTTCCTTGTATGATATCTGCCGAGCGGTTGAAAAATAAAAACAATGCACACGTGACCTTTCACCTTCGACAAACAAATTAAAAATTTAAACGATGTGCATGTGAACTCCACCTTTGACAAACAAATTAAACATAAAAACGGTGCGCGCGCATGTGAATAAAAAATACTTTTCGTTTTGCTGCATTATTAAAGTACTCTCCAAAAGTATGTACTTTGCAAAAAACTCCTTATGTAAAGAGAAGGTTATATGCTATCTAACAACTGGCAATCCTCTACAGGCTCGAATACAAATCCATCAAACAATGACGGACAGGGTACTGCAGGTAAGATTTATATTAAAGTTGATGCTCCTGCTAATGAGGTGTGAAAGGAATATACAACCCTAAATAAGTATACTCGTAAGTCTTTGCAAATTTAATATTGGTTTTTAAGGTACTGATCGAAACAATATGGTTGAAATGCAAGATCCTTCGGTGAATTACCCCCTCACTTCTGAAAAAACATTAACGATGTTCGAGAATGCTGAAATCGTCTGGTCCAGCGATATAGAGACCAAATCAAAAGAGGATCTCATTATAAGTATGGCGTCGTCTGGTTACTACAACAGTATGGCACTTTGTCATGCATCACCAACCGATCGTAATCATCGTGCTCAGCTTAATGAATTACTTAATAACGCTCCGGCATCATATCGTGGCATGTTACTCAGATTTGCACCTGGAAAATATTACTACATGTGCACTAGAAATAATAATTTCAGCAACCGCAATCAAAACGGAAGACTAACTGTGATATAAACTGTGATGGTGCAGTTAGGACAAGAGGGTAGGGCCGTAGGTAGGACTTAAATTGGGATGGTTTAGGGTTGCCATTGGGGGTTGCTCTTGCCATCCCTGCTGGTGCCACTGAGTGACGGTATATTTTTATAATGTTTCTTACATATTGAGTCAAGCACAAACTGAATAGTTTCGTAATGTTTTCAAAAAAATTCACGTCATTTTTCGTAATATAAATAATCACACTAGGTGGCCGGTGGCATTGTAAATAGCTATTTTTTCCACAATGATAACGCAAATAATACTACCGTTGACCTGATTGTAAGTTTGTAACAGAAAGTCTATCTCCCACCAAAATGTTAAGTCGAATTCAACCTGTGTGGCTGAGCCTCGATTTTTTTCAAGAACGGGTCAAAGAGAGTCATTACGACAGACCTTTTGCTACAATACATGTAAAAATTGTGGAAGAAAAAGACATGTTTATTTATAGCAAGACTTCCAGCTATACATGGTACAAAAACAGGAAACGAAAATTTTGTTGTTAACACTTTAATATGCTGTTTTTCCAAGTAACTAATTTATATTTGTTTCGGTCCTGAATCGCTCGAAGTAATCAAATAAATCTAGAAATTCAAATTAGAGTAAAAAGCTACAGCACAGATAAATTTAACAAAACAGCGTTAGATGCCTATAAAAGAAGTAAAATGTAAGTATGAGTTTAAATTTTGCCTCAAAACCTAGTTACAATTTGCTAACATTATACGAACACGTCTGCTTCATGCAATAAACTTTTATACAAGAGAATCCGATTCGATTGTTCTTTTTCTTGCTTTTAAAATGAATTCATTCATTAGTTTTGACAAATACGACAGAAGTATTAAGAAAAAGTATTGCTTAAGTGTGACTTCCAATGAATTGCCGTCTAATATGTGTTTGGCTCCTGGCAATTTCAAGTCAGTTTTTAACTTGAATGAACTTGCAGAACTCGAAGTTTCATAATAAACTCACCAGATCCTCAAATCCATTCCGTGACAAATAAAAAAGAACATTTTGTAAAACATCAACTCTTCAAAAATCTTTAAAATACGTCAGGCAACAGGTCAAATAAATTGTGTGATATCCTGCCACACAATCTCTATATAAACGAACGCATTCATCATCAACTTAAAAGTGAAACTCTCATGTACTTCAAACATGAATCACAAAATATTTATGAAGTTATGATGTGGATAACTAGAGACTACAGCCTGGAAAACTATTTGCTAATGGTTGTAAATTGTATAGTTGTCTGTCAAGTGGTAAAATGTTGAAGTGTTTTTGAAGTGAGATTTTCGTGTACATTTTCATTGGCTGAAAGAAATATTTAAATGTTTGCAAGCATATTGACATATTTATTTATGTCCATTTTTTGTTGAAGAGTTCCAAAATTCGTCTTTGTGTGTGACGTCATAAGTAATACGGGGTGGCCAAGCTGATAGTAATTTCTGTTGCCATGTTCAGAATGAGTAGCATTCACCATTTACTGGTTCCACTTGACATTTATATCCGTTATGATGTCAATTTAGCAAATTTCGCACAGGAATTTGCGAGAATGGACACTTTGGTGCGAAAAGACCAGTTTCATTACTGTTTCATTTTTCGTATATTATATGACACTAGGCATTGGCAATATCATTATCATACAAGAGTACGTTTGGGCCGTGATGTTTTGCAGTTCATATTTTCGTGTAGGGTTGTGTTTCAACGATTATGTGCCGATGGCAATTACCTTAAACAATTGTCTCTCAAACGGAAATCATGCAAGTGTTTTGTTGTCTTTATTGCATAAATTCTGATTTGTTAGTTCTCATTGTGATCTTATTACGCAGAGCATTCTTTTTGCTGTTAACTTTTATCGCAACGCACTACGTTAATTTAGTTCAAGTCCGAGTTAGAGTCTAAATCAAGTCCATACCTGAGTCTAAGATCGAATCATAGCTCGAGTCCAAGCTCAAGTTTTAGCACGAGTCGAAGCTCGAGTCGAGCTCGAGTCCCTAGCTCGGTATTTAGGTATCCTCTCGACAGACAGCCAACAGCTTCTTCAATAAAAAAAGTATTTTATAGCAGTGAATGTTTGAGTGCATTATGTATAATCCTGATATCGGATCACGTATTTTTTCCTGGCATTATTGTTGAAAATATATGGAAGTATTTTATAAAAGTATTTTTATTGAGCTTTGGACTCTGTGCTTCGAGCCTTCATCAGAATGATATAAGAAGTTATTTGCAACTATTTTTAATTTGTAGATGTTTAGAGCGTCTAATTGGATTAGCGGGTGGATTAATATGATTGTATGGCTCGGAATGCGTTGTCATGTGTTTTGGTGTAATTTGAATATGATTGGTGTTAACAGCTCACTATTCTTGACAGTCAATTCACTCGACCCAGTCCTTATCCGCGAGCTATGTATAGACCCTTTGCACATGACGTCACAGCTGATGTTCAGCTTCTTCTGGGGGTCAAGTAAGGTGCTGCCATTTATAAATAAGTAATAGGAAGTAAAACTTTCGGTCATCATGGTTCACTTTTGCGCTGTTTTTGCATGCTCGAATCGATCTAATAGAGAAAAGAATAGGCGGTTTTTTCGCCTACCTGCTGTCAAAAGTAATGTGAATGTGAACAAGAAGCAACTTCAACTTGAAGGCAAAAGGAATGGCTTCGAAGAATTCGCAGGGAAGATCTTACGCCAGAAAAGTTTGCGAATGCTCGTGTGTGTACCGACTTCATATCAGGTTAAAAACACTTGTCTTTATCAGTACCAAGATACTAGTGTTCAGCTAAATGGTTAGCTAAATAAGTGATGTGTTATTTGTGATAAATATCTTTGTATTATCTGCATATATTTTGTATTATATTTTTGTATGGCATTTTGTATTCCATGCAAGGAAGCAGTCAGCAAATGGGATTTTGCCTTAAGTTTCGATCATCCTTTCTTGTAAATGTCATAAAATAGAATGAATTAATTCCTACTGGCAAACCAGCAGACCTACAAAAGAAAGATGACCCAGACTGGGCACCAAGTCAAAATCTTGGCCACAACAATGTGAAAAAGAGAAACACAGAACGATCGTCTCGCTACCAAGGGATAATTGAAAAGAAGAGAAGATCTGAAACTGCTAATGCCCTTATAGCAATGTCAAGCGAGCAGCCCAATGAGGTTGTTGATAAAATGGACACCTCTGAACCAAAGGCAAATGAAATGTCAACACAGACTGATAAAACTGTTAATGAGCTGAGGTTACTTGAAGATGAGGTAGATTTTCTAAGGAAGGAAAATTCTGATTTAAAGAAAAAATTATTGCAAAAGGAACTAAATGAGGATGCATTTAAAGATGATGATGAAAAGGTACTTTTCTATACAGGTTTACCTACCTGGAAGCTTCTTTTGTGCCTTTACAACTTTGTGTCTGGCTTCTTGTCACAATCATCCAGGTGTATGCTTAGCCCTTTCCAGAGACTCATTCTTACATTAATGAGAATGAGACTCAATCTTTCTGGTAAAGACTTAGCCTATAGGTTTGGTGGAATTCATGAGGCAACTGTTTCCAGAGTTTTTATTCAAATGATGGATATTCTACATAGCAGGCTTTGTCCACTTATCCATTGGCCTGAACGAGAAGCCTTATTAAAAACAATGCCCATGGATTTTTGCAAGAACTGCCCAGCATGTGCTGTGATAATTGATTGTTTTGAGATTTTCATCGACCGTGCATCTAATCCTTTAGCCAGGGCACAGACATACTCATCATACAAACACCATAACACTGTCAAGTATTTGATAGGAATTACTCCCCAAGGTAGTGTAAGCTTCATATCTGATGGACGGGGTGGTCGTGTCAGTGACAAACACTTAACAGAAGAATGTGATCTTCTAGAAAAGCTTACCCCAGGGGGTTGTAATTCTAGCAGACAGAGGGTTTGACATACAAGAATCTGTTGGATTGTATTGTGCTCGTGTAAAGATACCAGCTTTTACAAAAGGAAAAAAGCAATTAAGCGGGATTGAGGTGGAACAAACTAGGAAGATTGCTAATGTAAGAATCCATGTGTAACGTGTAATTGGCAATATTCGAAAAAAATATGGAATCCTTTCTGCAACTCAACCAATAGACTTTGTTGTTTCAAAAGGAGGAAAGACCACACTTGACAAAATAGTAACAGTCAGCTGTGCATTGAATAACATGTGTGATTCAGTAGTCCCATTTGAATGAATGTTTATTATTTAGAGGCAATAGTGGATCTAGCGTAGGTCATAATACGTTGATATAAATATATTTCCCATTTAAAATACTTTACAACTAACATTATTGATGATGTTCTGGTTCTTAAATATTTTTTTTGAAATTTCTAACCAGCAACATTGCTGTTAAATTATTTTGAATTTAAAATTAGCTACTATAATGTATTCTGACCTACCCTGGATCTGCTAATGTATGTAGCTTTATACATTGAGTCGTATTCTTTTTCCTGATGTGTGCGAGTAAAATTTCCCAAGCAGCTCGGGAAGGATCCCTTTGATAATAAATTTCTCTACTCGAGATATATTTTCTTTCCAAAACTTCTCATCTGGCAAAATTCTTTCTATGTAGAGCATTTTCTCACTCCACACAACAAAATCACAATAGCTGCGTGCACTGCAAAACAATTGAGCTTGGACCTGAAAGAAAATGACATTCTAACATTACTGTTTAGTACATGTATGCAATATATATTTGTGTGTTGACTCAGCTGATACTGATTACAATTAACCACACATTTTCGCACCTATCTGAAAATGTACCTGATAATAATAACAATGCTTCCTTTTAAGCCGTTTTCCAACTGGTGTTTCTTCCAGACAAAAGTCCTTGTCAGCTAGTGATGTGTCTAATGTGTCATCTTTATGGCAATAGGGACACTAAACACATACAATAACAAAAAATTGCTAAGGCTCTAATTATTGATATAATTAATACTCCATTATGTTATATGCTTAGATATATCATGATCAAATACCTTAATCTCACAGACACCATTGCCACAGCACTTGCAATTGACCAGCCCATCTGGACTTGCACCAATGAAGCCATGATCAACATTAATGAAGAAGCCAGATTCTTCTACTTTGAAGGCCTCATGTTTAGTTCTTTGAAAGCTTTCATATGCATCCCTAGCTTGCTTTTCATGGTGACACCCCCATCGTGTAGCAGCAGTGCTAAACTTTCCTAGCTCAGGATGACAAATGCTCAAAATTAAAGATTTTGATGGGCTATCTGGGCATGTCCGTGAGGCAGCTTTGAATCTTGAGGCAGTCACCAGGCCAGTCCTCATTCTGAACCAAAGTCTGGATTCAGACTGCTGTCTGGTCATCTCTTCGACAATTCTTTGCTGCTCTGGAAGGACTGTATAGAGTAGTAGCTTGTGGGGAGCAACCCTCAAGGTAGCAAGGTCAGCACCTAACAAGCTTTTGTCATAAATATTAGACATCACAATTGGCAAATCAGGGTAACAGGACTTTGGAACAAATGGGTCAGAGAATTCCTTAACTACGGAAAGTATGACAGGTTTTGACTCAGTAGCTTGTAATTCTGCATAAAACTTTGACAGTTCACTTTCTGTAGGTGGAGGCGGAGGAATTGTTTTGGAAATGGCTGTGGGAGATGTTGAAGCTCCATTTTTTGAGAAGCAGATGTGTCTTACTCTTGCATATGGCACTTTCTTCACAGCTGAGGGAAGGACCCAGTAGGCTTTTTTGTCAGTGACAGTAAGAGAGTCCCTTTTTCTGACACCAGCCTCTAAAGCCCATAGCAATGATGCTACATGGGAGCAGCTTTCCCCTAAACCAGCCATACAATCACAGTGACCAGATAAAATCTTCCCTTCCTTCTCACAGATAACCCATGGAGTCAGTGGCTTCTCAGACATTTTTTGCGAGTGATTTACCTAGATAGCAACAAATGATTGATAAGAAATATGGAGGGTGTTTGAACAAATCATTGCTAATTTTTAAATGTAATAAATTTAGCGTTTCACATATATCTATTAGAAATAGAAGCAGATATCGCTTATGAAAGTGAAGATAATTAATGAACACACATACCTTCGCAATCATCAGCCGATTATCGCCAAATTCTTTTACCAAAACTTCTTGAACCCAGCCATTCGCGAAGTTCTGGTAGCACGAAAGACTTTTGTAGTTCATAAGCTCGTCCTGTGTGTATGAGCTTACCGAAAACAATAAATACATGCCCACGTTTATGTAAGAAACATTCGGCCATAATTCCACACAATCTTCCCAGTCGTTTTTTGGTATCTCGTATAGGTCAACAGAATGTATCAATGAAATTTTTGCCTCATATCTCTCCCTACATTCTTTTGACCTTATACTAGCGTAGTAACCGCGCAGGAAACCTGTATGAGTTGGTTTTTTTGGAGGCATTTTACTAAATTGGACCTTTCACACTGTATTGCTTATAGAATAAATCATTGGCTTGCCACAATCATAGAATAGAGAATACATTGAATAGAGAATACAATGCCATTGACCCCCAGAACATAACTTCAGGCGGGACGTCGCAAAAATGTGACGTCAATGCAATGGGTCTATAGGTGAAATCTCGATTTGGCGTGTGTCTGAGAATTTTCAAGTGCATGACGTCACAATTTAGAAGATTTTTTTAATGTGGGGAGTTGATAAAAAAATGTTAAGTTATGCACGCATGTTTTTTTGTTGATAAACATTTGTAACCAACAGAAAGACAATTTGCGAAGAATACCTAATACTAGCATTAACATGTTTTTTAACGGCTGCTGATTTGCATCAAGGCGATTCACTTGGTTAGAAAAGCAATGTGCTTTCATGTTATCATCGGAACTTTTAACGACACGAATATTTTATTGATCGCATGGTGGACAAGAGTACATTTAATATGTTATTACAAGTAGACAATAAATAAGTAAAAGCTCTCAATAGTGACTTTACAGTCCCAGAGCTAAGAATGGTTTCATGAAGTATAACTGTTTGAGCATCTCAAATGATTTTCGTTTTAAAATATGTACGTATGTGTAATGTAAAGGCCAAGAAAAATATCGAACTGAGAGTTGTAGTATAGCTTATTATGGAAGGGTATGTATTAATTTGATAACCACAACATGACCTTGGAATAGACTGACATGCACATATCATAATTATACAACTATAAATATTTCAGCTTCATAGATACTGGACCACAACGTCCACAAGAGTTTTAGACGAATTATAAATTTTACCAGTACAACTCAACTAATAAACTAACAGGAAAGTTTTGCTTTGACATTTTAAACTCATTTGATCATCACTCTGTTGACTCATTTACAGAAGAAAATTTCGTTCGATTTATCTGTTAACGATAATTTTTATTCTTCACAAAGCGTTTGGACGGCAAGTGTTGATATAGTATTTATCTAATAACAACGGTTTTCATTCAAAATAGCAATGAATTTTATGTTAAATTTGCGAGGACGTCTCTATAATCGTCGAAAGTAAAGCACCAGAAGCGGATATATTTATGCTCACTCGAGCTTGCCGTCGGCTTTCCGAGCGCGTTACACTTATATAGTCAATCCTATACAAAAAGTCAATTCCATGCTCATGATCACTGTATGTATAATGTCTGTAAATAGAATGCTAATGTGCCATGAATAATGACCGCAACATGGCTGAAAACAGCTGAGTAACATGAATCCAGATAAAATCAAATAATATACTTACACACAAACACTGGGAGACTGAGAGATACATATATGACACCATATAATTGATAGTGTTAATGGATGTATTGATCTTGTGCTGGCTGGCAACAAATTGAGTAAAATACAGAAAAAATCCTTTAAGCTCCAGTTAACATGACTTAATTGGTTATTGGCTGAGTTCTAACTTTCATGTCAACTGCAACATATAAATGTAAAGATCAATAATTTAAATAAGGTAATTGCTTTGCTAGCGCTAACCTTTAGCATGCAAATTTTGTAAAATGAACTTTGGAATACTGCTTATCAATTGTGCCCAATTTAATATTAGCATATTATACATACATACAGTGTTACTTCTTGCATGTTCTTCAATAAATTGACTTAGTTATATGAGAATTTGAAAATAAAAGGCGATAAAATTACTTTGTCTATATTAAGTGACAAAATATACAAGATACTGCAGTTTTTTGCTCATCATATCAATTTTATGTTTTAAAAATTACCGTTCTTTTGTCCATTTTGTATTGTGTCACTTAAAACAGATGATAAATGATGGAAAACACCCAAAAGCAATTTGCACTTTTTGCCTACTCGGTGCGAGAGGCAGCAATTACCTTGCGATAGTAACGCAAGGTAATCTCAACCATCAAGTGGTTCAACTCCATAAGAAACTCTACCAAACTCAGTAAACACATATGGACACTAAAAGACAACAACATCGCTCACGATATCTCATGGAACATCATTACTCACAGCAAACTGTACAACAGCGCCAACAAAAGATGCAACTGATGCCTGAAAGAAAAATTCTTCATCACCTACCAACCACAACTATCACCACTCAACAAACGTAACGAACTTATCTCCTCTTGTCGCCATAGAGACAAAGCACTTTTATCCAATTTGTACTCGTACACCTAACTTATTATGTATTTCTATCTTAATTTTACCCTAACTTCCTCTTGTATATATAATCAAGCACATGCTTTTGTGTTCATTTAAAATTATCCCCTGAAGAGTGAGAAATCACGAAACAGGCTTGTCGGGATGAAATTGTAGTTTTTGTGTATTTTCTTCTTATTATCAATATTTATGCTCTGCTCTTACGCATCGAGCACTGTACTTACGAAGAATCAAATAAACAAAACTTCCTATAGTTTAAAATATATATACAAAGATGACGGAAGTTAGCATATTAATTAAGGTATATAGTTACAAATTAGATGACGGAAGTTAGCGTATTAATTAAGGTGTATAGTTACGAATTACACAGGGATGTTTTGAATCTATGACCAAAAGAGGAAACAATATATATTATATTTGTGTTTGTATACTTCTGTGAACAACGAGTATCAATGAACAAAATGCGAGATGGACACAGTATGGTCGATATGATTATGGTATACGAGATTCCAGACCCATCCACTCTGAAAGATGATGATGAAATAGAAGAAGAAGATAAAAAAAACAAAATCCGCGAGTTCTACATCGACGGTTTGAAGGCTAAAGGTCTTCTTATAGAGATTGACCAATTACAAAAAGAGAAAAACGCTGAGGTTTGCTGCCAATTCAATATTGAAATCTCTTTAATTGCATGAATGATTTTGATCGATGATTTTGCTCGATGTCTTGATATCAAAACTGAAAAGAAAATTTATGATTAGTTTGATCCTTCTATTTACTGAAATTTAAAGGAATATTCAGTCTTCTAAAACAGTCTTCTGTAGAGTCTTCTAAGTCAATCTTTTAAAGTTGCTTGTTAATTGTATGACAGTTTGTTGTACTTATTATATCTATAAACGATAGTAATGTAAATAAGGTCTTAAACAACGACTTTGACCTTTCCCCTGTTTAAGGGGAAAGATAAATATAATAAGTTAATAAATGTTTAAAAGTGTCTGCAATGCGTGGTAAAAACTTACGTCAAGATTGCCCAAAACCATATGCTTACATGACGTCTTGCGCACGCCCAAACCAGTGCTTTCATTATGTGCTTCACTTGCCTGAAATTTGCATTCTTGTCAAGATATATAAGATTGAAAAAAATTCTTCAGAGCAGAAAGCTATCAACTAAATTGTAAATAGCTACTGAAATGTCGTCGTTTTACATTTACCAATTTTAAAAATTACTAAAGTACAAAAATTACTAAATTATAAAATTTACTAAACGACAAGAATTACAAAATTATATAATTAGCAATAAAATTATAAATTGAAGTCACTGTTGTTTTGTATTTTATAAAGTATATTTTTTATTTTATATTATTTCAATGATATTAAATTAAATTTTCATAAGTTTAAAGAAAGTATAATCACCTCCAGACCCAGTGGGCTAGCAAGCCCGCATGTTTGTTCGTGCTATGTAAATTTTAGATCATTGGCATTATTTATTTAAATTATTACCTGCACTTCTTTAGAAATTTAAAGTATTTTTTTAAAAGTATTTATGTATTTTTATTATCTAGGCTTATGATTAGCAAATTTTTCCCGTTAACAGGACACAAATGACAACGACAAGAAGCCAAAGACGTTTTTTGTCAAAATTCATGCACCTTGGGACGTATTGACCAAAATGGCCGAAGAGATGTTTCTGCGCATGCCCTTGCAAAAATCGGACATAAAAATTCCATCGACACTTGAAACCGTGTTTGGCGAGCAGTTTGTGGCAAAATTCAACAATGCAAATCCTTTAGAATACGATAGACATATTACACCAGACGACATTATGTATTTCACGGCGTACTTTACAAAGGAGCATGAGGCCGAGTTTGTGGGCATTGATAACCATGATACATTTTTACTCCCACCGACCGTGTCGCATGGTCGAAAGAATCATGGGACAGACGCCATTCGAGCCCTCGAGGACTTGAACAAGGTTGTCGGTATTGCTAATTTGAAGTTCACCAACGCGTTCAAGGGAATTTATCCATTGCACGACGGACCGTGTGAGGTTAGCGTTGTATTCATTGTTTACAGTCTTTATTGCAATTTTTCAAATGCCTAAACGAGGTTCAGGGAAATAACTTCTTTAAATAGATAACTTGATTTTAAGAACATTTGCAATAAACTTGATGGATTGAAATTTATTTTCATGGGCTTTTGGCCTAGAAGTAGTTGACTCTGCACCGGAAGTGACGCACATAGGAAAACTCATGCATTGATTATGTAGCTTTTATTATACAGAAAAACACTGTTATAGTAAATCTTCTTCAAATATGCCCTACAAATTTAAGATTCCGCGTAGGTGTATTGTTTGATGAGATCTTTAGAACGAATAATGAACGAAAATGTTTAACAACTAAAACTTCGTTTTTTCTTCGGCACGCTTCTCCTTGCCGCTTCAGCCATTAGGTAAAAATACCAGATGTGAAACAAGTTATGAACAAGCTGTAATAGTGTTGTATTCCTATTATTGAAAATTGTGAAAAGAGATTGTTGCTTAAAGATCGTGTGCACTTTTTCTGTAGAAATAATTCGAAAAGTTTTTTTAATGGTCATTTCTCGTCATGCTTTAATAGTTTAATAAACTACATCATTTACATGAATGGATTGTGGCGTATTTGATATATTAGCAAAGAAAACAAATGATACCATGGCACAGAATTCAAATATTTGCCGTCTTTCGTGATCCTGCCCTTAAAGTAAATCGTATTTTAACCGATGTTTTTTATGCAATCAAACCTGTATTAATCAAACACCGTCAGGAAGCGGTTTAGTGTTCGCTTGGATTTGTATGTTAAGCAGAGATTCTCGTCACCAGGCCCATCCCCTAAGAAAACAACAAAAAATAAAAATCCATATGCTTAATGATGAAGAAACTATTTCCTATTGACATGAATGAAATCGTTGAAAATCTAAATCTCTTATTTATTTCTTAAAACTGCTAATGAAAACTTCTGTCTTTTTTCAATTAATTTTGCTGTGTTTGAGCGTCGCACGCGTTTGTGAATTTGAGAAATCAAAATAAAACATTATAAAAACACTATTTTGCTTTTGCAAGAAAAATAGCAAACTGTTTACTTTTCATTTATTTTGACGATGCTTATGCATGTTATCCAAAGTTCCAATTTCTTTTAACATTTCTCCTTGCTTAATTTTAGGTCTCAGAGGGTGGTAAGCCAGAAAATCAACGCCAGCGATTGCGGTGGGAGTGGGCTCGCTTTAGAAAATGGTACAAGTATCAGCCGCTTGACTCGATTAAAGATTACCTTGGAACATCTATTGCACTGTACTTTGCCTGGCATGGTTTCTATTGCACAATGTTAGCACCTGTTGCCTGTCTTGGCTTCATAGCGTTCCTTTACGGTGTTGACGACTCTTACAGCTCCCCTCCGGTGAAGGATGTTTGTGACAGTATCAAGACCGATTACGTAATGTGTCCACTTTGCGATAAACAATGTTGGTACTGGTATCTAAAAGATTCCTGTACGTACATGCGCGTGGCTCATTTCTTCGACAACAACTTCACCATTGCCTTTGCCTTTATTATGTCTATATGGTCAACGCTCTTTCTAGAGCTTTGGAAACGTCTACAGGCGACCCTTTCTTATAAATGGCATACGCCTGATTTTGAAGAGGTGGAGGAACAAGTCAGACCAGAGTATGCGGCGGTCGTTACAACACTTCGTGAAAACCCGGTCACTAATCGTATGGAGCCGTACACACCGAGGACGACCATCTTCAGGAAGTACGCAGGTGTTATCAGCATCGTTGCTTTCATGATTACTCTAGTTATATCTGTTGTGATCGGTGTTGTTCTATATCGAACGGCTGTTTATGCGTCTGCTGCAAAGAATTCAGATGAAAGTATTCGCAAAAACGCCAAAGTCCTCACGTCCATGACGGCGGCTGTCCTTAATCTCATCTTCATTAATATCCTCAAGTTTTTGTATCAGTACGTTGCATATTGGCTTACAAACTGGCAGAATCCGCGTACTCAGACGGACTGGGACGACAGCTACACGGTGAAAATGTACATCTACCAATTTGTGAACGTGTACTCTTCTCTGTTCTACATTGCTTTCTTCAAGATCAACCTGTTTGTGGGCACTCCGGACATTACTTCCGACCTTTTGGTGTGAAAGACTGGCGTCTAGACACGTGCGGACCACAAGGATGCTTGGTAGAGTTATGCATACAATTGTTTATAATTATGGTGGGACAGCAAATCATTAGCAACGTTACTGAAGTAATAATACTGTAAGTGTTTCATTAAAGTCATTGAAGCCATTTTTACACACATAACACATATATTAATTACTTATTGACTGAGACCCAGATTGCGAGGTATAAAACAACAGTTCCTGCTGTTCCACATTTTCAGGTGATTTGCTCTTGATAACTGTGAAATTTATTTTCACATGCAGCTCTATTTTGCTAATGGCTTATATTTACATCAATCCAGTAGCAGATCTAGCGTTTGTCAAAATATATATATTGCTGCTCACTTTTAAATTCAAAGTACTTTCAGAAAAACACTATTGGTTTTGAATTTCTAAAGAATGTTATTTTATCAGTTGATTTGCTTCCAAGGTACTTAGAAATATAAGTGCAGTAACTCATTTTGACCTACCTTAGGTCCGCCACTGCATCAATTTACACTTCATTAAACTTATATTATATAAAAATGTTAAAATAAAACTTTTGGCTTTGTTCTAGCTATTTGAGGAAGTTGTGGAGTGAACGTAACACGCAAAAGAAAGCATACCACATTTACCACAATGGGAACAAGATTATTTTCTTACTGCTTCGGAAGGAACATTGTTCTGGGAGTACTTGCAAGTTGGTAGGTATCAAAGATCTCGCTTACATTGCTACTGTGTTAGGTGTCCAAAGATATTTATTTGATGGTGTCATGTTTTAATCTCTATAAATTTTCCAATATCCCACTAGACTGTAGTGACTTTCATCATAAAAACTGGCTAAAATATTCGCTCAACCAAGGCAAGTATGCCTGGAAGAGCATTTTCATTATATATAATATCATGGACTCGACATAACTTGAAGACTCTCTCCTTCAAATTTGAAAGCAGCCATTTAACCAGCTCATATCTTCCCATTCCCGGCAATTGGGGCAGTCAGGTATAATACGGGACTTTACTACAATGCATAAATAGGGGAATTCCTACTAGGTAAAATTTGGCTTCGTTCAAGTACAGGCAGGCATTACCAGAAGATATCTTTCCGGTTATAAATTCAGTTCAGTACACAATCCTAATTTGACAGCATCTTCTCACCTTCCTTTGTAGTCTTACAGCTCGGTTTTGTTATGATGTTTGTTGCTGCATTCCCACTGGCTCCGTTTTTTGCATTCATAAATGGCATTATGAAAATCCGTTTTGACGTCATCAAATTCATTCGCAACCAGCAACGACCATTTCCGAAGATGGCTGAGGATATTGGCGCCTGGTACCCGATCCTCGAAGCCCTTTCTGCATTCTTTGTTCTTGTAAATGCATTTGTAATAGCGTTTACCTCCGACTTCATCCCAAAGATGGTATATAAATACAGTTACAGTCCTGACGAATCACTCGACGGCTATTTGAACAACAGTCTGTCATATTACAACACCACCTTATGGAACAATGAGTCGAGACCGGATGAGAAGTATACAGTTGGAAATATCTCTATTCCGGTTTACTGTAGGTCAGTATTCTCATTATCGTCAGACCAAAGCACTCTTCAAGAATTGTTCATGTGTTTTTATACCTTTTGTCGGCTGAATGAAAGCTCATTGGCATTTTTTAGCCCTTTGTCACCCAGCGTTGCCGTATGGCAATATTAAGTAAACAATTCGAAACTTAAAGGACCAAAATACTTGAGAAGTAAAAGGTTAAAGTGAAAATGATGTCTAATGTTCAAAACAGTCCATTCGGACAAATGCAATGTCGTAACAAAAATGTTTAATGGGATTTGCGTTCCTTAAATGCGTGCGTCTCTAGGCAGTTCAGCAATTATTCTATCAGAATTTTTGCTTCTCATTTCTCACAACTTCTTGGTTATCAATGACTTAGAACCCAACCCTCTAGAAGTCTAACTAATCTGTCAAGGTGAGGCAAGGACACCATTTTCAAAGGAAGCAAAAAGCAAAACACAAAATAAAAAACAAGTTCAAAGGAAGTTTAAAAAACTAGTCCTATCAAACTTTTTAAAAAACAAATCTAGACTATGGACTTTGTAACTTTATATTAACTTTGGAAAAGCAGATATTAGTCGTAAATATCGTCAGTTTGCCACCGTTCAAGAAGGTGGCTTAACCCATTCGTAAATATAGAATTTTGGTGAAGTCATAATATATCTAGTACAAAGCTAGTTTATGGGTAAAATTAGCTTTAACAAATATATAAATGATTTCTTCAGAGACACAACATTGGGGCTTGGCTTTCATAAAGATCAAGCATATGCAAAACGATCAATTTAATATGGTAATTTATTCTGTGATTGCGTTCAATATTTTAGTTCTAATCTTCCAAAATGATGGCAGCCATTGCCATTGCCAGCACAACATCGGGGTAATAAATGATAGCTTGATTCAAATTCACTTTAACTTTACAAATATATTGGTCAAATCTCTAAAGAATAGAATGTACCAATCAATGCCTAAGGTATTTGGAAATGAAAAATAAGCGCGTAGCTAATTTATTTGACGAACCCGTCGAGCAACCCAAGGAGATGCGGCAGAAACAGTTGGCAGCCTTAAAAGATACAATTAAACATTTAATTGTTAATAAGCCATGAAACCAAATGTAATGCATTTGCGACATTGAAGTAGAATTTGCATAACCAAGAAACATGTTAAAAGATACGAATTTTTTTCGATCCAGCACTATTTTCAAAGTAGTGAATCCCATAAAGTTCGTCGCCTGGTCTTGATGGCAAATCACTTCTCACAATTGAATGGACCAATCAACATGGCTGTGGTGACAGAGATTTGAACTGCAACATCGTTCTTCAATACAAATGTCAAGATGATTTCGCACACAGAACACTAAATTATGATTCTCTGAGAAATGGTACAATAATACAACTTAAATATTAAATCCAATAAACAATGAAATAACACATCGACTCGAAGTAGGTTTGTGTATTTAGCCGATTGAATAGTGACCTACCACGATCTAAAATTGCTTTAAGCAAAAATAGAGATTAATCTGCGGATTTAAAATCAAGAAAATATTGCTAGGTACTTATAAATTTGCAGAACAGTCTATCCCACCTAACCCTAATCATAAGCCTAATAATTAAACTATTTTTGGTTTGCTGTGGGAACAGTGGCATAGCCAATGGGCAAGATTGGTCATGTTATGTAAATTTAAGATAATTAGTATTACATATTTGTGAATAATTAGTATTGTTGCCATTTTTCTTGCAGTGAGAGAACACCAAATAATTATAAATCACGATCAAACTTGTGTGATGTCTATGCCACTGTTTGGGGATATTGTTATCTAATTTTGGCTTCTGTGACTGTGAGATGGGTACTGCGTACAATTTTTTGTTAAGACTTTGCATCCTTTTATTTTGTTTAGCACTGTTGAAAGTCCCTTTGGCAATTCTGCTCTTTGTTTTCAATAAAATTTTGGATGCTATTGCGTTCATTGTTTCCTCACACTTAAATAATGATCAATTATTTTATTTTAGGGGGCAAAACAAGTACTTCTTCGTACCACCACTAACAACATACCTCTCGATCATCTAAGGATTCTAGAAAGCAATCTGATTCACAGACTACCTATGGTCTCCACGAACCTTGGGAATGGTACGATAAATGCAAGAAAAGATATCGAAATAAAGGTATTAAAGGTTGTAGATCGTATGAGCAAAATATGTATATGCATGGATAGTGTATCGGTTTTTAAAACGACCATTGAAATCGAACAACGCAAATAGACTTCGCGATATGTAAGCTGAGCATCCGAGTAGACATTGACCAAATTGACAATTATTGATATGCTTGAATGGCATACTTTATCATATTTTTAACCATGTGTGTTCAAATTGCGTTTATTTGTGGCAATTCAGGGTAACAAAGTCCTCACATTAAAAATAACTAATGTAATGTTTAAATAAATAGTTAATAAAAAAATTACTGTCAGATGAACCATTGAACGTCCTACTACCATGCTTTGAAGTATTTAATATGTAAATATTTCTGTGTTTACTGAATTCAATAGATTCCTAAAGAAACAAATAATGGTGTAATTCAAATACTTCTAGTAAAGGTTTTTGCAAACCTTCTCCGCAGATCTACTTTCACAAATTTTTTCAAACAACCTTACAAATGTATAAAATTGCAATAAAATGAACAGATAATTTCAAAAAATACAACTTTTTGACGATTTCTGAGCATTTTTATTGCACACACTCAACTCCTGCTACATTTTGAAAAACTATGTTTGACAGGTCTGTTCACAGCTGATCAACATCTCAATGGTGATCAAAGCATCTACACCCGTCAAAATCCAAACGGCAATCGTTATGGTTACGAATGTCCCGAAGAACGTGATTATTACCCGTATTGGCATCCTACAGACTGGATTGATATTGCTGTTCTTGCCCATAATCAATCTATGTGTGAATATTATCGAAATGAGAGCTTCAACGTTAAAGAAAAAGGTTTGCTTATTTTTAAGGCTCAGTTCTTTCATCCTCTTTTCTTATTTATTATAGCACCTTTTGTTGCCCTCTACTCCACTCCGCCTTAGTCGCTTCTTTTCACACCTGTCGTGGCTACACACCAAACATTACAACATTACTAATTGTCACCTTTTTTAAATCACGAATTAAAAATAAAATTTTAGTTATTCGCTGAGCATAGAGTTTATTAAAAAGTGGTATGACTTTTCATCTTGCTCGATATCCCGACTGAAAGCCATTCTGTTCACTCCTGAATGATACGCTGGTTGTATACTTGTAATACTCAAAACTGGTGATACATTTATAATATGTTTCCACGTCATCCTCTCGATATTTTTACGGTATAACATAATTAGGATTACTGTGATTTATTCTTCTCTCATACATTTATTTATATTGTCTTCAACAGGAGAATGTCTTCAGTACTACAATACAATTTCTGACAGATTTCGCCACGATTCCATGTATAACAATAAACTTGACTGTGAAAATAATCATGGTTTTTGGGTTCCATTCATCAACTATCTTGAAGAAAGGAAAGACCTTGACAGAAGAACAGATTGTTTGGCGGCAAGCACAAATGATGTACGTCTTATCTGGGCCATTCCCTATTGTTCTGAAGATATTGATGACTTGGAAATGAGTGGACACAGCATTGAATCTTTAAGACGGTGTTTGGTGGCTTTAGATCCTCCAGAATGTTATAAAGCTCCTTACACGAGAAGTAATCATTTGGGAAATGCGCATAATGTTGTTCCTCTCAACTACACTTGGGTTCTTCCATATTTTCCTTCGCGTCGTGCTCAGAGATGTGTTTTCAGGATAAGGTAAATTTATGTTTGCCTAATAGTCCGTTCACACGATCCGATTTGTCAATCCCATTGTTTCGGCTCTGACATTTCATTGCTTGTTCAGACTGTCCGATAATATGTTGGTGTTGATATTTTTTTAGATATTTCTTTTCGTATTATCTAGTACATTTATCGATATATTATGTGTGTATTTTTGTTCTCGTTTCCAATTTTTTCTTGCGCGGAATCAACTTTGAGAAGTATTCAAAATGCGAAGTCTGGGGCTAGTCGGCTTCCTTTAATCTTGTCTGATAGAATATAGCAATTTCTATTTCCATCCAACTTTTAGACAGACGGCTTTGACTGTCGTAGGCTCGCTTTATATGTGTTCACACTACCCGTTTTTTTGGATATCACAAAATCGGTTCCGACAAATCGGATCGTGTTTACGAGCCTTAGTTTTTCATTGAAATATCTTCTGACCATCAAATTCCATAACATTTTATCACTAGGTATAACATTTCCACTGGTGATTATCCTCCATTCAACACTTTCAGTGACCAAAACCATGCCCAGTAAGTATTGCAGCTATCTTATTTTTACAATTCATTTTACGCTCAACAATTGGAATAAGAAAATATATTCGTTTTACTGAATGTAACAATTTCCACATTAAGGAATGAAGGCGTGTACTCTCCTGTGCAAAACAATCCAACGGTTCACATTGGCCGAACACAATTACCATTGCGACTTGCAATTAACACGGCTCAATTTGGACGCACTTTTCAAGACCGATCCCATTTATTCAAACTCATGCCAAGACTTACGGGCATTACAAATAATGACGTCATTTATAATCTGAACGTCCGTGGTAAACGTGGTAATATAGTACAAGTCTATCCAGCTGTGGAGTATGACTTCATTCCCAAACGACTTAAAATCACAAACACTAGTCTCGTTCACATCCAGTGGACAGGTAAAGTAATCTATCGTACAAACTACTGCAATTTATCCTTTTTGTCTTGACCAGTTATTTTAGATCAAAATATCTGCCTTTGCCGGTTAGTTGTCTATAAATGCTTTGTAAATCTTTTAGGAAATTTTGAATTTTCGACCCTATTTGTGTATATGAGGGAATTTAAAATTATTTACACGCTAATTGAAAATGCTCATCGATTTCTACAGGAAAACTTTTCCTAGTATGATATCTGCCGAGCGGTTGAAAAATAAAAACAATGCACACGTGACCTTTCACCTTCGACAAACAAATTAAAAATTTAAACGATGTGCATGTGAACTCCACCTTTGACAAACAAATTAAACATAAAAACGGTGCGCGCGCATGTGAATAAAAAAATACTTTTCGTTTTGCTGCATTACTAAACTACTCTCCAAAAGTATGTACTTTGCAAAACACTCATTATGTAAAGAGAAGGTTATATGCTATCTAACAACTGGAAATCTTCTACAGGGTCGAATACAAATCCATCGAACAATGACGGACAGGGTACTGCAGGTAAGATTTATGTTAAATTTGATGCTGCTGCTAATGAAGTATGAAAGGAATATACAACCCTAAATAAGTATACTCGTAAGTCGTTGCAAATTTAATATTGGTTTTTAAGGTACTGATCGAAACAATATGGTTGAAATGCAAGATCCTTCGGTGAATTACCCCCTCACTTCTGAAAAAACATTAACGATGTTCGAGAATGCTGAAATCGTCTGGTCCAGCGATATAGAGACCAAATCAAAAGAAGATCTCATTTTAAGTATGGCGTCGTCTGGTTACTACAACAGTATGGCACTTTGTCATGCATCACCAACTGATCATAATCATCGTGCTCAGCTTAATGAATTACTTAATAACGCTCCGGCATCATATCGTGGCATGTTACTCAGATTTGCACCGGGAAAATATTACTACATGTGCACTAGAAATAATTATTTCAGCAACCGCAATCAAAAGGGAAGACTAACTGTGATATAAACTGTGATGGTGCAGTTAGGACAAGAGGGTAGGGCCGTAGGTAGGACTTAAATTGGGGCTGTTTAGGGTTGCCATTGGGGGCTGCTGTTGCCATCCCTGCTGGTGCCACTGGGTGACGGTATATTTTTATAATGTTTCTCACATATTGAGTCAAGCACAAACTAAATAAGTTTCGTAATGTTTTCAAAAAAACTCATGTCTATTTTCGTATTAAAGCTAATCACACTGGGTGGCCGGTGGCATTGTAAATAGCTATTTTTCCAAAATGATAGCGCAAATAATACTACCGTTGACCTGATTGTAAGTTTGTAACTGGATGTCTATCTCCCACCAAAATGTTAAGTCGAATTCAACCTGTGTGGCTGAGCCTCGATTTTTTTCAAGAACGGGTCAAAGAGAGTCATTACGACAGACCTTTTGCTACAATACATGTAAAAATTGTGGAAGAAAAAAGCATGTTTATTTATAGGAAGACTTCCAGCTATACATGGTACAAAAACAGGAAACGAAAATTTTGTTGTTAACACTTTAATATGCTGTTTTTCCACGTGACTATTTTATATTTGTTTCGGTGCTGAATCGCTTGAAGTAATCAAATAAATCTAGAAATTCAAATTGGAGTAAAAAGGTACAGCATAGATAAATTTAACAAAACAGCGTTAGATGCTTATAAAAGAAGTAAAATCTAAGTATGAGTTTAATGTTTGCCTCAAAACTTAGTTACAATTTGCTGACATTATACGAACATGTCTGCTTCATGCAATAAAATTTTATACAAGAGAATCCGATTCGATTGTTCTTTTTCTTGCTTTAAAATGAATTCATTCATTAGTTTTGATAAATACGACAGAAGTATTAAGAAAAAGTATTGCTTAAGTGTGACTTCCAATCAATTGCCGTCAAATATGTGCTTTGCTCAAGGCAATTTCAAGTCAGTTTTTAACTTGAATGAACTTGCAGAACTCGAAGTTTCATAATAAACTCACCAGATCCTCAAATCCATTTCGTGACAAATAAAAAAGAACATTTTGTAAAACATCAACTCTTCAAAAATCCTTAAAATATGTCAGGCAACAGGTCAAATAAATTGTGTAACATCCTGCCACACAATCTCTATATAAACAAACGCATTCATCATCAACTTAAAAGTGAAATTCTCAAGTACTTCAAACATGAATCACAAAGTATTTATGAAGTTATGATGTGGATAACTAGAGACTACAGCCTGGAAAACTATTTGCTAATGGTTGTAAATTGTATAGTTGTCTGTCAAGTGGTAAAATGTTGAAGTGTTCTTTAAGTGAGATTTTCGTGTACATTTTCATTGGCTGAAAGAAATATTTAAATGTTTGCAAGCATATTGACATATTTATTTATGTCCATTTTTTGTTGAAGAGTTCCAAAATTCGTCTTTGTGTGTGACGTCATAAGTAATACGGAGTCGCTAAGCTGATAGTAATTTCTGTTGCCATGTTCAGAATGAGTAGCATTCACCATTTACTGGTTTCATTTGACGTTTATATTCGTTATGATGTCAATTTAGCAAATTTCGCACAGGAATTTGCGAGAATAGACACTTTGATGCGAAAAGACCAGTTTCATTACTGTTTCATTTTTCGTATATTATATGACACCAGGCATTGGCAATATCATTATCATACAAGAGTACGTTTGGGCGTGATGTTTTGCAGTTCATATTTTTGTCTAGGGTTGTGTTTCAACGATTATGTGCCGATGGCAATTACCTTAAACAATTGTCTCTCAAACGAAAATCACGCAAGTGTTTCGTTGTCTTTATTGCATAAATTTGTAGTACAACCTATTATGGAAGAGTATCTATCAATTTGATAACCACAACATGACCTTGGAATAGACTGACACGCACATTTCATAATTATACAACTATAAATACTTCAGCTTCATAGATACTGGACCACAACGTCCACAAGAGTTTTAGACGAATTATAAATTTCACCAGTACAACTCAACTAATAAACTAACAGGAAAGTTTTGCTTTGACATTTTAAACTCATTTGATCATCACTCTGTTGACTCTGTTCATTTACAGAAGAAAATTTCGTTCGATTTATCTGTTAACGATAATTTTTATTCTTCACAAAGCGTTTGGACGGCAAGTGTTGATATTGTATTTATCTAATAAAAACGGTTTTCATTCAAAATAGCAATGAATTTTATGTTAAATTTGCGAGGACGTCTCGATAAACGTCGCAAGTAAAGCACCGGACGCAGGTATACTTATGCTCGCTCGAGCTTGCCGTCTGCTTTCCGAGCGCGTTACACTTATATAGTCAATCCTATACAAAAAGTCAATTCCATGCTCATGATCACTGTATGTATAATGTCTGTAAATAGAATGCTAATGTGCCATGAATAATGACCGCAACATGGCTGAAAACAGCTGAGTAACATGAATCCAGATAAAATCAAATAATATACTTACACACAAACACTGGGAGACTGAGAGATACATATATGACACCATATAATTGATAGTGTTAATGGATGTATTGATCTTGTGCTGGCTGGCAACAAATTGAGTAAAATACAGAAAAAATCCTTTAAGCTCCAGTTAACATGACTTAATTGGTTATTGGCTGAGTTCTAACTTTCATGTCAACTGCAACATATAAATGTAAAGATCAATAATTTAAATGAAGCAATTGCTTTGCTAGCGCTAACCTTTAGCATGCAAATTTTGTAAAATGAACTTTGGAATACTGCTTGTCAATTATGCCCAATTTAATATTAGCATATTATACATACATACAGTGTTACTTCTTGCATGTTCTTCTATAAATTGACTTAGTTATATGAGAATTTTGAAAATAAAAGGCGATAAAATTACTTTGTCTATATTAAGTGACAAAATTTACAAGATATTGCAGTTTTTTGCTCATCATATCAATTTTATGTTTTAAAAATTACCGTTCTTTTGTCCATTTTGTATTGTGTCACTTAAAACAGATGATAAATGATGGAAAACACCCAAAAGCAATTTGCACTTTTTGCCTACTCGGTGCGAGAGGCAGCAATTACCTTGAGATAGTAACGCAAAGTAATCTCAACCATCAAGTTGTTCAACTCCATAAGAAACTCTACCAAACTCAGTAAACACATATGGACACTAAAAGACAACAACATCGCTCACGATATCTCATGGAACATCATTACTCACAGCAAACTGTACAACAGCGCCAACAAAAGATGCAACTGATGCCTGAAAGAAAAATTCTTCATCACCTACCAACCACAACTATCATCACTCAACAAACGTAACGAACTTATCTCCTCTTGTCGCCATAGAGACAAAACACTTTTATCCAATTTGTACTCGTACACCTAACTTATTATGTATTTCTATCTTAATTTTTACCCTAACTTCCTCTTGCATATATAATCAAGCACATGCTTTTGTGTTCATTTAAAATTATCCCCTGAAGAGTGAGAAATCACGAAACAGGCTGAAATTGTAGTTTTTGTGTATTTTCTTCTTATCATCAATATTTATGCTCTGCTCTTACGCATCGAGCACTGTACTTACGAAGAATCAAATAAACAAAACTTCCTATAGTTTAAAATATATATACAAAGATGACGGAAGTTAGCATATTAATTAAGGTATATAGTTACAAATTAGATGACGGAAGTTAGCGTATTAATTAAAGTGTATAGTTACGAATTACACAGGGATGTTTTGAATCTATGACCAAAAGAGGAAACAATATATATTATATTTGTGTTTGTATACTTCTGTGAACAACGAGTATCAATGAACAAAATGCGAGATGGACACAGTATGGTCGATTTGATTATGGTATACGAGATTCCAGCCCCATCCACTCTGAAAGATGATGATGAAATAGAAGAAGAAGATAAAAAAAACAAAATCCGCGAATTCTACATCGACGGTTTGAAGGCTAAAGGTCTTCTTATAGAGATTGACCAATTACAAAAAGAGAAAAACGCTGAGGTTTGCTGCCAATTCAATATTGAAATCTCTTTAATTGCATGAATGATTTTGATCGATGATTTTGCTCGATGTCTTGATATCAAAACTGAAAAGAAAAGTTGTAATTAGTTTGATTCTTCTATTTACTAAAATTTAAAGGAATATTCAGTCTTCTAAAACAGTCTTCTGTAGAGTCTTCTAAGTCAATCTTTTAAAGTTGCTTGTTAATTGTATGACAGTTTGTTGTACTTATTATATGTATAAACGATAGTAATGTAAATAAGGTCTTAAACAACGACTTTGACCTTTCCCCTGTTTAAGGGGAAAGATAAATATAATAAGTTAATAAATGTTTAAAAGTGTCTGCAATGCGTGGTAAAAACTTACGTCAAGATTGCCCAAAACCATATGCTTACATGACGTCTTATGCACGCCCAAACCAGTGCTTTCATCCCGTGCTTCACTTGCCTGAAATTTGCATTCTTGTCAAGATATATAAGATTGAAAAAAAAATTCTTCAGAGCAGAAAGCTATCAACTAAATTGTAAATAGCTACTGAAATGTCGTCGTTTTACATTTACCAATTTTCAAAATTACTAAAGTACAAAAATTACTAAATTACAAAATTTACTAAACGACAAAAATTACAAAATTATATAATTAGCAATAAAATTACAAATTGAAGTCACTGTTGTTTTGTATTTTATTAAGTATATTTTTCATTTTATATTATTTCAATGATATTAAATTAAATTTTCATATGTTTGAAGAAAGTATAATCACCTCCAGAACACAGTGGGCTAGCCAGCCCGCATGTTTGTTCGCGCTATGTAAATTTTAGATCATTAGCATTATTTATTTAAACTATTACCTGCACTTCTTTAGAAAATTCAAGTATTTTTTTTAAAAGTATTTATGTATTTTTATTATCCAGGCCTATGATTAGCAAATTTTTCCCGTTAACAGGACACTAATGACAACGACAAGAAGCCAAAGACGTTTTTTGTCAAGATTCATGCACCTTGGGACGTATTGACCAAAATGGCCGAATAGATGTTTCTGCGCATGCCCTTGCAAAAATCGGACATAAAAATTCCATCGACACTTGAAACCGTGTTTGGCGAGCAGTTTGTGGCAAAATTCAACAATGCAAATCCTTTAGAATACGATAGACATATTACACCAGACGACGTTATGTATTTCACTGCGTACTTTACAAAGGAGCATGAGGCCGAGTTTGCGGGCATTGATAACCATGATACATTTTTTACTCCCACCGACCGTGTGCGCATGGTCGAGAGAATCATGGAACAGACGCCATTCCAGCCCTCGAACGACTTGAACAAGGTTGTCGGTATTGCTAATTTGAAGTTCACCAACGCGTTCAAGGGAATTTATCCATTGCACGACGGACCGTGTGAGGTTAGCGTTGTATTCATTGTTTACAGTCTTTATTGCAATTTTTTTAAATGCCTAAACGAGGTTCAGGGAAATAACTTCTTTAGTTAGATAACTTGATTTTAAGAACATTTGCAATAAACTTGATGGATTGAAATTTATTTTCATGTGCTTTTTGGCCTAGAAGTAGTTGACTCTGCACCGGAAGTGACGCACATAGGAAAACTCATGCATGGATTATGTAGCTTTTATTATACAGAAAAACACTGTTATAGTAAATCTTCTTCAAATATGCCCTACAAATTTAAGATTCCGCGTAGGTGTATTGTTTGATGAGATCTTTAGAACGAATAATGAACGAAAATGTTTAACAACTAAAACTTCGTTTTTTCTTCGGCACGCTTCTCCTTGCCGCTTCACCCATTGGGTAAAAATACCAGATATGAAACAAGTTATGAACAAGCTGTAATAGTGTTGTACTCCTATTATTGAAAATTGTGAAAAGAGATTGTTGCTTAAAGATCGTGTGCACTTTTTCTGTAGAAATAATTCGAAAAGTTTTTTTAATGGTCATTTCTCGTCATGCTTTAATAGTTTAATAAACTGCATCCACCGACAGTAAGTCATTTACATGAATGGATTGTGCGTATTTGATATATTAGAAAAGAAAACAAATGATGCCATGGCAAAGAATTCAAATATTTGCCGTCTTTCATTATCCTGCCCTTTAAGTAAATCGTATTTTAACCAATGCTTTTTATGCAATCAAACCTGTATTGATCAAACACTGTCAGGGAGCGGATTAGTGTTCGCTTGAAGTTGTATGTTAAGCAGAGATTCTCGTCACCAGGTCCATCGCCCTAAGAAAACAACAAAAAATTAAAATCCACATGCTTAATGATAAAGAAACTATTTCCTATTGACATGAATGAAATCGTTGAAAATGTAAATCTCTGATTTATTTCTTAAAACTGCTATTGAAAACTTTTGTCTTTTTTTCAATTACTATTGCTGTGTTTGTGCATCGCACGCGTTTGTGAATTTGAGAAATCAAAATAAAACATTATATAAACATTATTTTGCTTTTGTAAGAAAAAAAGCAAACTGTTCACTTTTCATTGATTTTGACGATGCTTATACATGTTATCCAAAGTTCCAACATTTCTCCTTGCTTTATTTTAGGTCCCAGAGGGTGGTGAGCCAGAAAATCAACGCCAGCGATTGCGATGGGAGTGGGCACGCTTTAGAAAATGGTACAAGTATCAGCCACTTGACTCGATTAAAGATTATCTTGGAACATCTATTGCAATGTATTTTGCTTGGCATGGTTTCTATTGCACAATGTTAGCACCTGTTGCTTTCCTTGGCTTCATAGCGTTCCTTTACGGAGTTGGCGACTCTTACAGCTCCCTCCTGTGAAGGATGTTTGTGGCAGTAACAAGACCGATTACGTAATGTGTCCACTTTGCGATAAACAATGCTGGTATTGGTATTTGAAAGATTATTGTACGTATATGCGCGGGGCTCATTTCTTCGACAACAACTTCACCATTGCTTTTGCCTGTATTATGTCTATATGGTCAATGCTCATCCTGAAGCTTTGGAAACGTCTACAGGCGACTCTTTCTTATAAATGGCATACATCTGGTTTTGAAGAGGTAGAGGAGCATATCAGACCAGAGTATGCTGCAGTCGTCACAACACTTCCTGAAAACCCGGTCACTAATCGTATGGGGACGTACATACCGAGGATGACCATCTTCAGGAAGTATGCAGGTGTTTTCAGCATCGTTACTTTCATGATTACTCTAGCTATATCTGTTGTGATCGGTGTTGCTCTATATCGAACGGCTGTTTTTGCGGCTGCTGCAAGGAATTCAGATGAAAGTATTCGCAAAAACGCCAAAGTCCTCACGTCCATGACGGCGGCTGTCCTTAATCTCATCTTCATTTATATCCTCAAGTTTGTGTATCAGTACGTTGCATATTGGCTTACAAACTGGCAGAATCCGCGTACTCAGACGGACTGGGATGACAGCTACACGGTGAAAATGTACATCTATCAATTTGTGAACATGTACTCTTCCCTGTTCTACATTGCTTTCTTCAAGATCAACCTGTTTGTGGGCACTCCCGGACATTACCTCCGACCTTTTGGTGTGAAGGACTGGCGTCTAGACACGTGCGGACCACAAGGATGCTTGGTAGAGTTATGCATACAATTGGTTATAATTATGGTGGGGCAGCAAATCATCAGCAACGTTACTGAAGTAATAATACTGTAAGTGTTTCATTAAAGTCATTGAAGCCATTTTTACACACATGCATACATACATTTATTACTTATTGAGTGATACCCAGATTGCGAGGTAAACAGTTTGAAACAATGCCGGTCGAAGAACAATAATACTCTCCATTTCCCGAGGTTTCAGTCAATAAAATAACAGTTCTCTGCTGCCCACATTTTTCTGGTGATTTGCTCTTGATAACTGTGAAATTTATTTGTTACATGCAGCTCTATTTTGCTAATGGCTTATATTTACGTCAATCCCGTAGCAGATCTAGCGTTTGTCAAAATCAATTATTGCTGCTCACTTTTAAATTGAAAGTACTTTCAGAAAAACACTACTGGTTTTGAATTTCTAAAGAATGTTATTTTATAAGTTGATTTGCCTCCAAGGTACTTAGAAATATAAGTGCAGTAATTTATTTTGACCTACCCTAGGTCCGCCCCTGCATCAATCTACACTTCATTAAACCTATATTGTATAAAACATGTTAAAATAAAACTTTTGGCTTTGTTCTAGGTATTTGAAGAAGTTGTGGAATGAACGTAACACGCAGAAAGGAAGCATACCACAATTACCACAATGGGAACAAGATTATTTTCTTTCTGTTTCGGACGGAACATTGTTCAAGGAGTACTTGCAAGTTGGTAGGTATCAAAAGATCTCACTTACATTGCTACTATGTTACAGCAGTGAAAATTTTTCTTTTGTCGTTCAAAGGTTTTGTCCAATATATTATTTGATATTGTCATGTTTTAATCTTTTTAAATTTTTCCAATATCCCCACTAGATATTTTATACTGTATTGAATTTTTATCATAAAAAAACTGGCTAAATCCGAATATTCGCTCGACCAAGGCAAGTATGCCTGAAAGAGCATTTTCATTATATATAATATCATGGACTCGACATAACTTGAAGACTCTCTCCTTCAAATTTGAAAGCAGCCATTTAACCAGTTCATATCTTCCCACTCCCGGCAATTGGAACAGTTAGGTAAAATACGGGACTTTACTACAATGCATAAACAGGGGAATTACTTCCAGGTAAAATTTGGCTTCGTTCAAGTACAGGCAGGCATTACCAAAAGATATTGTTCCGGTTATAAATTCAGTTTAGTGTACAATCCTAATTTGACACCATCTTGTCACCTTCCTTTGTAGTCTTACAGCTCGGTTTTGTTATGATGTTTGTTGCTGCATTCCCATTGGCTCCGTTTTTTGCATTTATAAATGGCATTATGAAAATCCGTTTTGACGCCATCAAATTCATTCGAAACCAGCAACGACCCTTTCCGAAGATGGCTGAGGATATTGGCGCATGGTACCCGATCCTCGAAGCCTTTTCTGCATTCTCTGTTCTCGTAAATGCATTTGTAATGGCGTTTACCTCCGACTTTATCCCAAAGATGGTTTATAAATACAGTTACAGTCCTGACGAATCACTCGACGGCTATTTGAACAACAGTCTGTCATATTACGACACCACCTTGTGGAACAATGAGTCGAGACCTGATGAGAAGTATAAAGTTGAAGGTGTCAACCGTCCGCCTTACTGTAGGTCAGTATTCTCATTATTGTAAGACCAAAGCACTCTTCAAAAATTGTTCTCGTGTTTTTATGGGTTTTGTCGGCTGAATGAAAGCACATTGGCATTTTTTAACCTTTTGTATCCTAGCGTTGCAGTATGGCAATATTAAAGTAAACAATTCGAAACTTAAACGACCAAAAAACATGAAAAGTAAAATTATAAAGTGAAAATGATGTCTAATGTTCAAAACAGTCCATTCGGAAAAATGCAATGTCTTAACAAAAATGTTTAATGGGATTCGCGTTCCTTAAATGCGTGCGTCTCCATGCAGTTCAGCTGTTATTCTATCAGAATTTTTGCCTCTCAGTTTTCACAACACCTTGGTAAACAATGATTTAGAACCCAACCCTCTAGACGTCTAACTAATCTGTCAAGGTAAGGCAAGGACACCATTTTCAAAGAAAGCAAAAAGCGAAACACAAAATAAAAAACAAGTTGAAAGAAAGTTTAAAAAACTAGTCTTATCGAACATTTTAAAAAACAAACCTAGACCATGGACTTTGTAATTTTATATAAAATCTTGAAAAGCAGATATTAGTCGTAAATATCGTCAGTTGGCCACCTTTTAAGAAGGCGGCTTGCCTCATTCGTAACTATAGAATTTTGGCAAAGTCATAATATATCTAGTACTCAAGGTTCTAGTTCCTTTTTGGGTTATGAATTACTTTAACGAGTTCCCCATTGCCTGAGAGACATAGTTCTGATTTTGGCTTTTATACAGTTTGACTATGCAAATTTTGTTGATTTTTATAGGTAATAATTATTTGGTATCTATTTTAAACATTGCAGATACACTGGTTACAGAACTTTTGGCTCTGCGGAGAACTACACAGCACAACATTGGAAAGTAATGGCCGGTCGCTTCGTATTCATATTCTTCTTTCAGTTTACGATGTCGGTGTTCAAAGGTCTTCTTGCATACGCCATTCCCAACATGCCTAGCGACCTTCTCCGCAAGAAAAAACGCGAGGAGCAAATTGCTAAAGAAAAACTCGACAAACCCAAGGATAGACGTGGCAGAAAGGGTGCACGAGAACAAAACATACATGTAAACATTTAATTTGATGCATGGTACTCGGATGTAATGACATTTATTCATTGAAAACTGTATACTTAAGCGCATTCAATCTACATAGACTTGTAGCAGGAATAGCATGAGGCTATTAGAAGTTGCATGCTCATATTGCCGTAGAAATTTCTAGTATTCTGATCTTGCACTGGAATATATAGCACATTCATTCATGTAAGAAAACTGAAAAAATCCAATCTACAAAGACTTGTATTAAGAATATAGTTAGAGATTCTCTTAAATGCTAAAAGCGGTTGCACCGGCAAGAGGCAATATTTTCAAGAATATTTTTTTTACAATTAAAAAATATAGTAGTTCTTTTCTGAAGTCCCCTCCAAAACCCAAAAATTAAATTTCAACTATCCCCCGGTGCTTCTGCTAAACTCATATCATTTGGACATTTTTCACATTTGTACTTGAAAGAGCAATTTGAATATAAGGATATTTACACAAAGAAGATAACTGCACATTCTTGAATGTATTTAATTTAGATAGTTCTGTAGTTTAAGAATAGCTTTAAGCAATAAACCCCCAAATTCGCGTGTTATTTGGCATTTGCAGATATATTTTCCAGAGTAAGGTCAACGTTCTACAAAAACAAGCGTAAGTATAAATAAACAAGTATGGCATGTCTTGATAATCTTTTGCTTATGCTTATATCGTAAGTGAAAATCAAAGTGAGGATCGACTTTAATTAAAATTTCAGACAAAATATCATTCCGAATCTTGAATACAAAGGGCTCAGTGGAAAATAATCTAAATATATAATCCTAAACAATTTCTATAAAAATGCATAATTTGGTAAAGAGATCTAGGTAAAAAATCACTTTTCACTCGAAGAAAAGGAAAAACAGAAAACTAAAAATCTTACGCAGCTATCTTTGCAAAGGATGAAATAGGACCGCACAAGACGAAACGTTGATTTTTAATACTTCGAAACAGCAAATTATTAGGGTCAACGTTCAGGGTGGAACGGAGCTGGGTAGGCTCCACCTCCTTCGATAATTTTTTAGCCATTTTTGAATTCTTGAAATTAGTCCAAGACTCCCGACCAGGGCTAAACTTCGGGGTAAGTCCCCAGGAAAAATGTAGTCCGTGGTGCCTGATCATGGACTAGAACTAGATAATAAAGATGGATATTGAAAAGCAGATTCGCAATGTTGGACTATGCGAAGCCATTGTAAAATTTACACAGTATGTAATTGTTTATGTGTTCTCGTGTGTGATACTTCATTTAACAGTAAACTGTGGGGATTACCATGATCCAAATTAGATTATCCTTGAAAACTTGGAGTTACCACCGGTTTTTGTTAAAAACCTGTACTTTTGATTGTGAAATTAAATTAACTTCATTCCGAATTCATGGTTTGGTAAATGAGTTTAGAACTTTGCTCTGTTTTGAACTTTGAAACTATAAATAACAGGTTGGACAGTCTAAGCTTGTCAGAACCAATGTAGTAAAAAAATTTGGCCACACTTCCTCATACTTTAGCCCTCCTTCCATAAGCATACAGGACAAGGGGCCAGTGGGGCAGCTTCCGCACAAGAATATTTGAAGATTGAAGAGTTGCGCAAATTTTAAATGATAGTTGGGCAAAAATGGGGGGAACTTTTTGTGAGTTGTGGAAAATATTTACTGCCCCCGCAGAAATGATAGCTCCCTTACGCGTAAGAGAGATGCAATAAATGTTAAGATGTTTTCAAAGCATGAATTTTATTGTTTTTTTAATCTCATTTGCCCCATCACAGATATACCTTTATTTCAGTAGTAAATTATAATTTAGATTTGGATTTTGCTGCATGTTGTTGGGCCATGGATCAAATTTATTTTCAATTCAAAGGAAGCGCATTGATTTTTAAGGGAAATGCAAAAACCTTTAGGGGGTTTTCAAAGCAATTTTATAACTTGTACATGTACTTGCACCTCCCCTCAAAATGTGGCTTTTCATATAAATAAAACGGTTGAAAGAGGGTTTTCACAACATGTTTTTTAAATGTTGTTCAAAACTTTTGTAATATGAAATTTGGTAGGCAGTTTACTCTTGACAAGCCTTGTGAATCACTTCATACACAGAAAACGAGACAGGTTTTCTATGAACCAGAAACAGATTTCTGGATGATCATGGTGAGAATGTTGATATTGTTTTAATGTAACATTATAATTAAGGTATAGTTACCGTAACTGCGTAAAAGCACTATTGATATTGAGCATTTAATAAAAACGACAAGTTTTTTTAAAATAAACATGTCATTCAAAGGTCCTATCGCTGATTCTATTAAATCTATGGTGATATATCAATTCAATTGTGCGTGATGTAATTCCCATACATTGGCGAAACTTCCCATCACTTATCCACCAGATCAGGGAACATACCACAACTGACAAAAACTCACATGTCTTTCGACACTTTTTAAAATCACCTTCATGCAAAACTAACTATTCACCCTCTTGCTTTAAAATCATCAACACTGCAGATATTACATTCACACTCAAAATCAAAGAAGCACTTCATATTAACAAAATTAACCCTAATCTCAACGCTCAAGTTTTTCGTTTTAACACTATATTCAGTCTGTAAATACTTTCATGATTAATTCTAACCAAAATTCATTGTAATATAATAATCTATTAATAAGTTTATAAATTGTATCACAGTATCATATTACTCTTATATATATTCATCACATACATAGTATTCCTTATAATACTGAAAATGGCATCATAAGATGTTGAAACATGTTTATTTTTAAAAAACTTGTCGTTTTTATTAAATAAGGTATAGTTATAATGTTATTGAAACTTACAGTGATCTAAGCTAGATAACTGCATGATAAATTCAACATATTTTTGGGTATATGGTTAAAATTTGGTTAGAGTGAGAACTAGGGATAGTGTTTGGGTTGGGGGGATTGAAAGTGATTTAGTTGCAAGTGAAATATGGATGTTTAATGGACAAAGTCTCTGCTCTTTATGCAAGTAAAAATATATTCTATTTCCTTTATAAAAAATAGTCTTTTCAAAACAATATCAAATAAATAAATTTTTCGAGTTCAATGACACATTGTTTATATTTTTAAATAGCTTTTAAATTCCTGTGTTTCTGTAGACGTTATGGAAACACATGTTTTTCGAACCTTCAGCCAATTAAAGACTTTGCATAAAAATAATTTTAAGAACAAGTACTTTTTTGTGGGTTGCCACGAACGCGTGCATGTTATGTTATACTGCAAAAAGTAGAAGAACATCGACCGATTTTCAACTCATTGACTTTTATGACTGAACTGGATGTAGCATAAAAACGATGATTTCCAAAATTTGTTTCGTTTACGCTATAATGGTGCAGTAATGTCCCTTTTTTATACTGACAGGAATGAAAATTTAAAAGAATTGCTAACCATCGCAAACATGAAGTGCATTTTGCTTGGTCGAAAATCCGTGAGCTTGAAGCAACGTATTTGAATTTGGTTTAGGTATGTACACTCTGTGACTCTGGTCATGGTGCTTTCACATTTTTGGTGAATAAAATGTAGAGGAGAAAGCAAATAAATGTGTCATACGAGTCTTAAATGCAGTAGCTAATCTTAAAGTTATAGTTTCACATGAAGTCAATCAATTAAAAGTGCGACGCATTGTTTATCAATTGCTCGTTTCACTCTGGTCACTGTTCTCTGTGTTTTTGTGTTAATTTAAAGACAAAAAGCTATTTCATCTTTCTCTCTTTTGATACATAATAACATATGATATCTGACATTACCTATGTGGATTTAAAACATACCGAAATTACTATAAACATTAACTCAAAATACATGTCAAACGAAGTCAAACTATGAGCAGGAAATACAATTATAAAACTTCATCAGTCACGTCACTACGGAGTCACATGAGAAGCGCGTGCGCGTCGCTTGTCGATCAGTGCACTGCGTGCTCGTTGATCAGAGAGGAACAAGACGACAGGTAACGAACCGTGAGTATAACCATATTTTAAAATTCTCCATATTTCAACATTTGCCATCTAGCAGGTATGACTAACATTGAAGAAACATCTAATTACATAGAAGACATATCAGCGGGCAAACAACAGCCTGATACTCAAACTATTACTGAAAAGCTAGCTGAACTGAAATCAATGATACGTATCATGTAGCAGCATCTTCAAACAAGGAATGATGCAAACTCAACTCAAAAACCCGACGTTGAGGAAAACCATAATAGGCGACAAAAATGGAGCCGATCAAACTCTTCTTCGACGGACAGTGAAGATGATATCCGTCAGAAGAAAAACAGAAAATCAAAATCTTACAAATCAGTTAATGATACTACACATGAAAACAACTCGAATGAAAATGACAAAATAAGCGTTTGCGCTGATGAACTTGGCGATGGTAATATCTCTGAGCTTATTGACAATGATAAAACAGAAACAAATGCGAGTTCAACCAATGATACACTTCAACAGCTAGCTGAAATATTTGACGACTCGGAGTCCACACGAAATGATATCAAACCACATTTTGCAAACCATTGTCGAGAAAAGGAGGCAGAAAAAACTTGCTCTTGACAAACTAAGGTCAATCCAAGACAAATCCAAAGAACCTGCATATTTCCCTTCCGTATGCTCCATCACAGTCAACCCCGAAATATGGGCCAAACTGCCATTCTACCAACAAAGAGCAGACCAAAACATATCAAACATACAAGAAGCAGTACGAAAAACAAATCTTATTGCAATTCTAACAGCGCACGCTCTGAGTACAACAAAGGCAAACGACGTTGGCATTAAAGAACTGTTAAGTCAACAAGTCAACTTAATAGCAATGCTGGGACACATCAGCCATGAGCTGGCAAGTGTTCGCAGGAATAAAATAAAATGTGTTCTGAAACCAGAATATGCTCCCATCTCAGATAACGGCGAACGCAGAAAATTTCTCTTTGGGGATGACTTACCGAAAAGATTGAAAGAATCAAAAGAAACGAGCAATGTAAGTCAGGTAGTCAAATACAATCAACCTTGATCAACCCCATCTCGCTCATATAATTCAAAAAGTTATGATAAACGACATTGTCGCCAATATGGATCAAATTATGAAGGTGGAGCGAATTCGGATTTTCACAAGCGCGGGAAGTCATACTTTCCAAAGAAAAATGTGAAACGACAAACACTCAAGAAATAATTCACCAATTACAACATATGAAAAATATATCGGTAAGCAAATGGGAAAATTTTGTTCCAAAGTTAAAAAACCTCTTAATTACTTTATGTGACAGCTACAAAGCGGGCAGAATAACAAATCCCTTTTCCGCATGGACCGATATTACATCCGACAAAGAGATCTTATCTTATGTAAAAGGATGCCAATCGATCTGTCGGAAACGCCTTACCAACATCACTTTCGCCCAACAAACTTCAATGAAATTGAATTGTTACAAATAAAAACTGAGATTGATAGAATGATTGCTAAAATATATAATAAAAACTGTACAACACGAACCAGATGAAATTCTCTGAAATATTTTCACTAAAGTAAAAAAAGACGCACACGAGATGGTCATACTAGATCTTAAAGTTTTTAATACTTTTGTGTCTTATTTCCAGTTAAAAATGGACTCACTAACTACGATCACTAAGCTTGTAGAACAAAACTGCCACATGTGTTGTATTGATGTCAAAGACGCCTAGTATTCAATCCCCATAAAATACACTGACAGGAAATACCGGAGATTCCATTGGAAGGGTGTTTTATATCAATTTGCGTGCTTGCCCAACGGTGGACCACGGAAGTTCACAAAAACTCTAAAACCCCTTAGCTACATTACACTCAAAAGGGCACATCATCTCGGAACATCTGGATGATTTCTATTTACAATGAAAAACTTACGATGCATGTCAGAACAATGTGATAGATACAGTGACATTATTTACCCAATTAGTGTTCCTAGTGCATCCAGATAAATCGATATTTATCCCTTTCCGGAAATTAATAACACTAGATTTGAAATTAACTCCGTCACAATGATTG